AAAAAAAAAAAAGAAAACTCATAGTGTTTGTGGTCTTCCAGCAGAAGTTTGAATCCTGCCTCTACCATCTCTACCATCTAATGAGGGAACTTTTTTTTTTTTTTTTTGCTTCACTTACAAAATGGGTAAAATCATCTACACTTTAAAGAATGGTTGTGACGATTACATGAAAGAGACTAATTTGCCTTATATTGGGGCATAGAGGTTTTGTTTTACTTTAGCTTTGTTTTTGCCTGCCTACTACAGACATTTGAGGTTTTGACCCCAAGAAAAGTTCTAGCTCGGCTCAGAAGCCTCACCATTACTTACAGAGCAGGCGTGTCATGAATGTTGTCTCCATTTTTCCCTAGGTGGTCCTCGAAGCTCAAGGGCTGGAAGGCTTAATTGCAGCCACTCCTGATGAGGGGGAGGAGAATCTGGACTCCTATGCTGGCATGTCAGCCATCCTTTTCGATGTTCAGCTCAGACCTGTCACTTTTTTCAATGGATACAGCGATCTGATGTCCAAAATGCTGTCAGCATCTAGTGACCCTGTCAGTGTGGTGAAAGGACTTATTCTGCTAGTAGATCACTCTCAGGTAATCCAACTCTGCACGTATTTATTCAGTCTCTTAAATTGCCAGGCACATTTTGAATGTGCTGTGTGCCTGGAGGATACAAGGACAAGTTCTGTCCGTCTTGGAGCTCACCTTCTAAGCATTTCAACTTCTTGATATTATCGCCTTTTCTCCTTTGCTATTTTCTTTTGCACTTGTTAGCTGATTAAGGGATCTCTTTACTTTTTAGATAAATGAAAAATACGGATGCTAACAGAAATAAGATATGGAGAATCCCTAGGATATAGCAGAGCAGGGATGGCATTATCTCCTGGTTGGGCTTACCTGGGCATGGCAGTCTGGGTGTTTATCCTTAGTTGCTGAACCACATGGCTTCATAAGTTACCAATAATGTTCATAATGATAACAATGATGAAGATCCGAGGAGAGCATCATTTTGATCCTGCCAAATTAATAGAGGCACAAGCAACCACTGATGCTAGCCACAAGTTTCACAGAGACTCTTTGCCCCAGATTCTCATGATCATAGAATGTTGGAAGGGCTGTTTGTTCTTAGAGAATAAGAAGGAGTATTTCACTCACTTGAAGCCCAGTCTAGAATAATTTTCAACTGTTCTTGATCCTGAATCTTACATTACTGAGCCAAAGTCCAATAAGGCTATAATCTCTATGGTAAGATTGAGGTAACCAAGATCCTCTAAGGGATAGGATTGGTCTGCTTACTTACTTGGATTTTCAAAGAAACAGAAGGCAGTTAGTCTGAATGCTGAGTTTGAATGTTTCATGCTTAATATTTTTCCTTTAATGGATTTATTTTATTTCCTGCCTAAGCAAAGCAATAAGAAAAAATGGAATGTTGGCTAAATAAGAATCTTAAGGGAAATCACAGCACACTCTGATTAACACTTATTATATTGAAGCTGTATAATGAGAATTAATTTTAAATTTATAGACTTGTAGGTTTGAATTTTGACTTTCTACTTTCTTGCTGCGGGCTCTTGGGCAGTTACTTAATAGCTTTAAATCATGACTTCCTACTAATAAAGTGGGGGCATTTAAAAAGATGATCCAAATATTTTACCAGCTTTGCTGTTCTTTGAGGATTCTTACGTGTTAGATTCTTACTTGTTAGATTCTGGTGGTAAAATAATAGGTTTTAAGAGATGGACAAACCTTAACTACCAAATTTTCTTGAAACTCTTCCAAAACATCAGTAGTTGAAACTAAATAATATAATTCTCTATCTTTATTATTCCTCATATCAGTTCAGAATAGCCAGATATAACAAAAACAAAAAAACATTTTAGAGTGGCTTAACCAAATAGCTTGACATTTATTGTGTAATATATATTTGGAAGTAAGAGGTCCAGGGCTAATAAGGAAAACCTACAGTATCAGAATCCAAGCTCTCTTCCTTCAACTCAGCCACCCTTACATGTGGCTTTTACCCTCAGACCTGTCACCTGGTGATTATGACATGGCTGTTCCACCTGAAGCATGGCTTCCTTGTTCCAGGAAGGCGAACTTTTTTGGAAGCCCTTTCTGGAAGGTTATTGACCAAAACTATGTCACATGGCTGCCTATAGCTGCAAGGGAAGCTGGTAAACATAGTTTGTATTGGGGTAGGCACACTCCAAATGAAACCATGTTTCTATTAACATGAAGGGAGGGAAAGAGGAAGCCCAGCAGTGCCTCTGATATCCCTTTAGCAAATCATCCATGAAAAGCTGTTCTCAAAGGACATCAGAAGTTTACATTCGCAATTCTATCTCACTTTTAATGGAAGAAAGCTCTAACCAGAGCCTAAGAGTGCCAAGGAAGTAGTTCACAATTTAAGACAGGACAACAGTTCAAGAACCACCATTAACAGTGCCTAAAGATTTAGATTAGAGAATAAAACTCAATGCAAGTTATTTCTGGGTCAGCAAACTTGTTCTGTAAATACAGGGCAGAAAGTAAATATTTTAGGTGTTAAGTCCCACCCAGTTTCTGTTGCAGCTACTCAACTCTGTTGTTGTAGAGTGAAAATAGCCATCAGCAATATATTAACAAATGAGTAGAACTGTGTTCCAATGAAATTTTATTTACAAAAACATCCAGTGGGCCATACTTGCCTTCAGGCCCTGATTAAGACTATCTTATATGTTTTTTTTTCTATTCATTAAGTCTGGGTGCCTCTGGCAAGGCACTATACGAAAGATTGTCCCCTAGCTATTAAACCTAACCAATGTCTGTATATGTCAGGCTGGAGTATTTGGCAGAACTGAGCTATTATACAAATAAGCTGTCTGTGGTCCCCTGGCTCTGCAGAGCACTCCAGTAATGTCATCCTCGCTTCATAGGCACATACCACTCTAGGTCAAGTGCTGACATTGAAGGAAATGTTGGCAATAGGTGGCCCGTCACAGCCACTGGGACAGATGGAATTACTCTGTGAACTAACTATCTCTCTCTCTCTCTCTCTCTCTGTTTCTCCTTGGATAATTGGATTACTCTTCAGGAAAGGATATCCTGATAAAGTCAGTTTAATAAGGGGATCTTCTTGAGCCAAGAACACATTTTCATAAATGGAAGCAATGGGATCAATTGTCAAAATGTCAGTGTCTATGTGAAACACAGCTACAAATCAAAGTTCCAGTAATGTGTTCTTCTAGTTTCTAGGCAAAAAATTAAACAAATATCTACTCTGGGTCAAACAGGTACATTAGCTTATGATCTTTCTTTTTGGCAGTATTTTTTTTGGAATAGAATTTCTTGCACATGAGGATAAAAAAAGAGAGTTATGAGTTTGTGATAGCCACATATTATAGTAGAAAAAAGTCTCCACTTTAGAGGCAGTCTGTGGATTTATTCTGCCTCCAAGTATAGCCTCTGGGCCTGATTTGTCCTTTCAGCTTTCAAATATAATGCCTACCATGGAAAACTGGTGTGAGTATTAAATGAGTTACCAAAAGTAGCGCTTTGGGCACAAGGTAGGCCCTCAAAAATTATTAGTTTCACTAACTTTATACCTCAAAAATGAGACCTACTGCACAATGTGGATTTCCCTTTCAAAAAGGAAAAAGTAATTTGTTCTTCTACAGGGATCTATGGTCTTCCCTCATGAAGAGATTCAAGAAAATTCCTTTATGACATCATATAAGATTTCTTCCATGGTCCCCTTGCATGAGAAAAAAAAAAAAAAGAATTTCTTAGAAACCCAAGGTACTCCTCAAAATCACATTGCAACATAAATGCTCTCTTCTTTCAAAAGGTGGATTGTCTAATAGCCATAAAATGTTCTTGTCCACAGCACTTGGTGCATTTTGACATCCCCCTAATGTATGGTCAATGGAAAAGTCAAGGTCCACTTTACAGACCCCTGCTGGGCTGGAAGGACTAACAAAAATGTGATTTTCGATTAGGAAGAGAGGAGAAAATGCAAAGAAAGGAATACTTCTGAGGCAGGGCACAAAATAGGGTTTTCTTGACATAACCACAATTACAGTGCTCATGCAGATCTCAGATATCCTGGCCCTGTAATTCATAGGTTAAAGTTTGGACATGACCATAGTTTTCTCAGGTCACAAATGTGTTCATTTGTTGTGGTACATGATACAACCCTCCTATTCTACAACATCCACATTTTCAACTCTAGACTGAACACAGTTTTAAGTATCTGTAGGAATATCTCCTGATGTGTCCTGAGATGGCACTGAGAATCTCATGCCTCCAACCAGGAGTGCCCTTCAGAATGAAAGCCGTTTCATGCTACTACCATACCTTCTCAGGACATCTGATCATTAACCAAGTTCTTTGTCTGAAATTTTTCTGCCACACGTTTTGAAATTCAGGGAGATCAACACAATCCTTTTCAGAAAGTGAAATCATGGCATTTGTAGTTGGCAAATGCATGGCTTGTTTGGGCTGAGTAAGGCAGTTACATAAAGAAGTGAGTCATGCTGCAAGTTGCCAGGAACTTACAATCTTTGGAGGAATATCAAAATTGAGGAGACTAAGCTTTTTTTTCCCAGAATCATTATCACTTTCAACACTTCCCATAGGCAATCTGATTCCAATCTAGCTGAAAAAAGTTTCAGCCAACATCACCCTGTCTAATGTACTTGGAAAATCTAAGACTTAAAGGTTAAAAGCAGGCAAACTACACAAAACAATGGGTTTCAGACAACCATGAAATTGCCTAGGATGGTCTGTTTGTAAATGATTACTGTGCCTCTGAAAAATGCTGTTGAGTTCATATTGGACTTGGCAGTTAATTCAACGTCATTTCAAATGTCAGAAAGCAAGGTATTAAGGCTTAGTTAAATTGCCTTGCATTCCTTTCCAAGCTTGATCTAGGCAATTCCTGGAACTTGTATATTGCACTGGGATTTTTTAATCCTGCTTTTGTCAGAAAGATGAAGTTGTCTATATTTGACACAGCATATAATTAGAGAAGTGCTGAAGGACCGAAGGAGGTCATCTTGTCCATCCCTCACCACCATGAAGAAAGAAAAGCCACAACTGGATTTCTGATAGAGGTGCCTTCATTTTCTCTAGTTCAGTGGCTCTCAAATTTAGGCACATCAGAATCACAGGAGGGCCCATTAGAATATTGATGTCTGGCCTTTACTGTCAAGAGTTCCTAATTCAGTAGGTGTCAGGGACTTGAGAATCTGCATTTGAACAAGTTCCCAGGTGATGTTGATGCTTCTTCTCAGAGGACCACATATTGAGAACCATTTGGCCTTCCCAAAGTGAGGCAATGATGGAAGGAAAATACCCTTCTCAACTGGTGCTTCACTTCATTAGTATTTTAATTCAACTCATTAATTTAGCAAATCAGCAGTCTATTCCTGGTGATCAAGACAAAGACCAACATGTTTCCAAGCCTAGAGAAAGATTCTAACATCAACACAAGTTCAGTGGCATCATCTACAGCAGGAGCTTGAATGTGCTTTGGGAAAGGGGGTTGACTAAACTGTATTTATTACTGTTATCACTATTAATATACAAGTGTATGCACATGTGTGTGTGGAGATATATATAATTTTTTTTTTCTTCTTCTTCTAGGAACTTCAGTTGCAATCTGGCCTAAAGGCCAACATAGAGGTCCAGGGTGGTCTAGCTATTGATATTTCAGGTGCAATGGAATTTAGTCTGTGGTATCGTGAATCTAAAACCCGAGTGAAAAATCGGTAAGCAAAAGATTTTTAATACTCTATACAAAGAATGGCAGACTTATGTTTTGGGAATTGGTCAACCTTTGAAGTTTTCAAAATCCATGCTGTTTGCAATCACTAAATCATAGAGTTAGAATTGATCACGAGATGTCATTCTGTTCATAGCTTTTCAGGAGTAGATCAGTACTTAAGACAATTCAACTGAGTATCATTCAAGTTTTAAAGACAGCATCATTGTGCCCCATAGAAGAGGGGGCTCCTCTTCTCTTTCTATTCCATTTTAGTAACTGATAAGGTTGCCACGTCAATTAAATTTTTAGCTTAACTCAATTGTTGGATTTTAAAACCTTTCTTCTTTTTTCTTTTAAATAATTTAACCTTTATTTTCTATCTATCTATTTATTTATTTTTATATGGTACTGAGGACCACACCCACACCTGAGCTAGGCAAGTGCTCTACCACTGAGCTACAACCCCAGCCCCAAATCTTTCCTCTTTTGCTATTTTCAATGAATTAAAATAAAAAGACAATCTCTTCTATTCAGAATCTAAGTTTTAAATGTTAGGAGTCCTTAAGGTTTTTACATTTTTTAATAAACATATCTTTTTCTTGGGTCTTTTAGATTTTCTAATCTACTGTGAGATTCAATGAAAATGTTTTACTTTGAAAGTAAAACAATGTCTCTGAGCCAATGATAATAAAAATAATTATTCTTTTGTTTGTCATAAAATTAAAGAAAATGAAGAGGAAATGCAATTTATTTTCATATTTTAGGGTATTTAGGGGGACAGAAGTGAGATAAGAATGATAAAATTGAACATTTTTTCTTTTTTGTTTTTGGTATTGGGGATTGAAATCAGGGGCACTTGACCACTGATCCAAATCCCCAGCCATTTTTTATATGTTATTAGAGACAGGGTCTCCCTGAGTTGCTAAGTGCCTTGCTTTTGCTGAGGCTGGCTTTGAACTCATGATCCTCCTGCTGGGATTACAGGTATGTGTCACCACACCTAGTGATAAAATTGAACTTTTATTCATTGTAAACAGTGGATGAAGCAACTGAGAACAATCTAGGTGTCATATTTAAAGTGAGGGTGACACATACTGTTACTAGAAGGAACTCAAGAATGAGAAATGTAATTGACGGTCAGAGAGCAGCATAAGTTGGTTGGGGCTTCCTACTGAACCAATCATCTTCTCTTTTCAAAGTATTTTCTAGATAGAAATTTCTCCAAATTAAACTGAATAGAATTCTTTGCAGAGAAGAATTGACAACAGCAACAAAATAGTCTGGCTTTTTAGAGAGGACACAATATCCCTAAGAAACTATCAGCATCCATATTGTAACTAATGGGTTCTCCATTTTTCATTTATTCATTCATTTAAAAAATATCTCTTAAGCCTTTGCTGAGTAGAGACCATTAGAAGGTTCTGTAAGGGATTCAGGGATTAAAACAACCACTGACCTACTTTAATGCTGGCAACCACAGCAGTAGGGATTTTAGTTTGCACAGCAAAAAATTAAGACAATCTCTTTTCTTTGAAAAAGAAAAGTATGGACATTTGACACTGATTTGATTATGGGAGTAATTACCCACAGTTTGATTTAAAGTCTATAATTACTTAGTGATCCTGGTTGTAAGCATCCTATGGAGATTTTTTTTTTTTAATCTTCTTCATTGTCATCCAAGCCACATTCCCCAGCCA